TTTAGGGTAGGGGCTTTAGGGGCTTTTGGGGTTTAGGGTTTAGGGTTTAGGGTAGGGGCTTTAGGGGCTTTAGGGGTTTAGGGTTGAGGGTTTAGGGTAGGGGCTTTAGGGGCTTTAGGGGTTTAGGGGTTTAGGGTTTGGGATTTGGGGTTTAGGGTTTAGGGTTAGGGTTTTGAGGGGTCTAGTAAGGGGTTTGGGGGTTTAGCGTCATAGGATATGGGATTTAGAGGTTTAGGGTTTAGGGTTTGCTTTGAAGCTTCTTAGGGGCTCCTTTCGTTAATGGCTTCTTGAAGGGTTTCGTAAGAGTTAGGGTTCAGAGTTTCGGAGTGAAAAACTTGAGAAACAACGGGAAAGCTTTTGGGGTTTAGGGTCATAAAGCTTTACGGGTTTAGGCTTAGGGGTTTAGGGTTGTAAAGCTGTAGGGGTTCAGGTGCTTTGGGGTTTGGTGGTTAGGGGTTTGGGCTTCAGGGGTTGAGGGGTTGAGATCTAGGTTTTAGGGTGGCTTTATGGGGATGTTGTAGTGGTCTGTACTCTTGGAAACCTTTTGAGTTGGGTTCTATGGCACTTTATAAGTATAGGGTCGTTCCTATGGTCGGGGTTCAGTGGGTTTTATTCGGGTTTCGGTTTCCTGCTATACAGGGTGCATAAAGTTTCCGTTTCGGTTTTGTGGTTTCGGGTGTACGACTCAGGGGTTTAGGAAATGGGATCAACCAGGTTTCAAGGGAAAGAGGATGCTGGTTGCTTAGGGTTTACCTGGGGATCCCAAAACCTACTGTTTTAGCGGGGGGGGGGGTAAGACCCTCTAACTAAAGGGGTCATAACCTACTATTCCGTGGGGTTAGGGGATACAAGTAGTGTTTAGGGATGATTGGAGGCCTTGGGTTTAGCGTTTGCAAGCAGTCCTGGCTCAGTTGCCTTGGGGTTACCTCCTCACTCGCGGTTGGATTCCAGGACTCTCGGTTTGGGGTTTAGGGGTTTAGGGGTTCAGACGTTTAGGGGTTTAGGGTTTAGGGTTTAGGGGTTTAGGGTCATATGATTCTTTAGTTTGGAGTTGCTTATTGAGAATCCAGGAATGAATCCGGCCGTGCGTTGTGCATCTTTCGCTGATGAAAAGGTTTCGGGTGGCTGGGTAGCTTCTATGTGGCAAGCACAGCTTCAGAGAGTGATCCTGTACAAGCCTCACTGTCTTGGCATGCTCCCGAACCTGATAATCCCCAGAGTTTACATCGTGAATACTCCTCCCAAACGGCCGTTTGGTCATGGTTCTAGGGGTTTAGGGTCTAGAGTTGGCTATAGGGAGGACAGATAGGGTGCAAGTTTAGGGCCGCAGAAGTTGGGGTGTCACAGGAGTTTGGGTTGACAGCCACCGGGCAAAAAAAGGCTTCATAGTAGGGGCACTGTAGTCTTGACGTCCGGCAAGGTGGATGCTGTCATGCCCTGGACGTTGGACACGATGAAGGTTGATGCTGCCAGCCTTATGTCAGGATACTGCTTGTTGCTGGACTGCCTGTGCATTGCGCAATGTTCGTGGGATGCGCGGCATGGCTTTCAGTAGTGCGCAGGGAAAGGTCATAGGAAGCATGTCGCACTCATGGGACGGGGCGGGAGGGGCACTTTATTCTCGCTGTCGAGAGCGCAGGGCTCATAGACCGTAAACCCTAAACCCCTGAACCCCCTATAGGCCCTACCCATAGGCCCCTAATTAAGTAGTTCCTTTTTGGGATTAAATTGGAGGATTCTAAATATAAACCACAAAATGGAACTCCTTAGGGGCCTATATGGGTAAACCCTAAACCCTGGATGATCCTGGATGGGGACCGCAAAGGCCCCGTTCTAATGGAATCCAAACCCTTAAACCCTAAACCCCTACCCCATAGGCCCTTATAAACCCTAAACCCCGAAACCCTAAAGCCCTAAACCCCTGGATGGGGACCGCAAAGGCCCTGTTCTAATCGAATCCAACCTTTGCGAAGACTACAGCTGAGGAGTGCTTCAACCGTGTGGACCTGATGCTGGGCTCTGCGTTTTAAACATTGCCGGGTATTGTGCTGTAACAAAGGGGCCTTAACTAATAATTACCTGTGCTATTTTGAGGGCTCTGCGTTTCTATCATTGTCGGGTATTGTGCTGCACAAAACGGGCTTTAAACTGTAGTGACCTGTACTGTTTTGGGGGTTCCTTATTCTTAATTTAGAAATGACCTATACTATGCCAAACAGGGGGCCTTAAGTAATAGTTACCTGTACTATATTTTGAGGGGTTCCATATTCTTATGTAATACTTTCCTATACTATTTTGGGGGTTCCTTGTTGTTTATTGAGGCCCCCATAGTATTGTGATGTATAAGCGCAGGTTTTATGAAAGACACTTCCATGTACTCGCGTCATATTACAGGTTTATACTGCATAGCAACTATACCCTTGCATCGTACAGAAAATACAAACAGACATGGGCACACGCGCGTGGACGCATGCATGCACCCCGTCTGCACATGCACATGTGCATGCGTTGCAGGCGGACCCGCCAAGGAGATTTCTTACATCCATATCTGCACATGCATACCTGGGACCTTTTTTGGTGACTATGTACACACATACATACATACATACATACATACATACATATATGTATATGTATATATGGTCATGCATCGCAATGGAGACAATCTTTCCTATATATGCGTCCGAAGCTTGATTGAGTCCGTGCAGTGTGTGGATCCTGTGTCGGCATGTGTGTAGAGGACCCCTGTGCTCAAGCAGGCCACGGAGCGAACAAGCATAGCACCATTGGGTTTAGGGTTTAGAATTTAGGGTTTAGGGTCTAAACCAACTCTGAACCCTTGGTGCGAGCTGTCCAAGGAAGGCTCAGCATCGAACCTTCACGACGCTACTGCAGTCGCGCGGTGCGCAGGCTTGGAGACCTTCAGGGTTGGGGTTTGACGTGGCCAGCTCCATTGCTGACTTTCGGGCTTACGCATAGGCCCCGAAGTAGTTCATGTTGCGGATTACCTTATAGGATTCTAGATATAAGCCACAAAAAGGAACTACTTAGGGGCCTATGGGTAGAGCTACGGGGCCTGCAGAGCTCCCATTGTAGTTAGTAAGCTTAGAGCTTGAATTCTGCAGGTCTCGGATGGCCACTGCAACTCCTGAACCTTGCACAGGGAAAGCTACAGTCCACTGCAACTCCTGAACCTTGAAAGCACAGGGAAAGCTACAGTATGCCATTTTGTTGGTCTGTTGGATTGCGAATGCCCGAAACCCCTAGCTGGGTTTGTAAAGCAGCCTCGAGCCTGGAAGCCCCAGACCCCAACACTCTAACGTGTTTAAGCTCTTTAAGGGTCTACGGAGTCTACTGTCTGTTTTTGGGATTCGGCATGTTTAGGCCCTGTAGAATGCCGATGTAGAGCCTGCCAGAAGGGAGGATTTTGGGTTACCTTTTGGCGAGATATAGAGAAGCCTGCCAAAGTTGCCAATATGATGCCTTCGGTTTCCTGTTCAGATTTACCCCACAACTCCCATTCAATCTGGTAAGGCCTTTGCATAGAATGCGTTGAAGCTCGTAAAAAAGGAAGTGCGCAAAAGTGTGAAAGCATAAGGATCTGCCACCTCAGCCAGCAAGCTCGTCGCAAACAAGGTGATGCCCAGCCCGAATCGCTGGATATTTTCTGGGTTGCAGTGAGTTCTTCGCAGGTACTTTCGCAAACTTCGCTTTTCTTGGGAATTGCTATAGGGACGATGAAGGCTTTCTAGGGGCCTGAGCCTTCAGAAGCCTTATCAACTCATTGAGTGGGTCGCAGACTTCTCAGATAGCTCCAAATCAGAGATCCCGTTTAGGGGGGTTTAGGCCGGATGATGCACTGCGCGACTCCTCACTTTTGCCGTGGCGAGACTTAGATTTGTGTGACAGCAGCAAGCCGGCTGACTCACTGCCCATACCCCTTACAAGGCAGATCCACGCGGAGTCATTGCGTCTCGCAAACACCCACCCACTTGTCCAGTAGCAATGGAATGCGTCGCATTCGGCCCTCAAGATTCTTATGTGGTTGTTCCCACGAGTGACTGTTTTGTCATTGAGTCATTTCCTTCGTTGCTGCGTATAGGGTTCTTTTCCGTAAATTAGCTTTCTGACTGGACCTTGAAACTACAACCGAGGTGAGGACTTTTTAAGCTTCGGACAAGGAGAACTTTCTCTTTCGTGGCTTCAGGACCAGAGCTCAATATCACATGCGGCTTACTCGGGCGACGATGGCTACTTCGCTCGCTACGAAGATGGTCGTTCCGAATGGAGACTCCATCCCAAACTGGGGAAGCTAATCAAAAGAGAAGGTGTGGAATGGATTATATTTGGTTCTGACGACAGTTACATATTCAAATCTGGCTCAGGACAGCTTCACTGGTACAATTTGCCAGATGCACTCGATCGGCGGCTGAAGTCATCGCGACCCTCGGATGAACTTGTCTCTGTGGGATTAGGGTCCAACGGCTCTTATGTTGCAATTTTCCCGACTGACTTCATCTGGCACGATGGCGTGCCTGACAACCTTGCGCACATTCTGCAAACAGGCAAACTTCCCGGAGACAAGAAGGCGACCGTCGAGACGCTTGATGCAGTGTGGCTGTCGGCCTATGATGATCGCTTCTACTTGGAGTACAATGGAGGCGCGGCGTACTGGAGCGGCTTAGACTCCTATTTCGCTACCATGATGACATGCGACGCAATGCTGAACCCACTTGAGATTTCGTACACGCAGGATTCTATATCAGCCAGCTTCGCGGATGGCAAATCCATATACGATGCTGCGAAGTCCCTGAACAACCACACAATGCAAATAACAGACTTTCCCATGATCAACGTCTTTGAGCACGCCGGCCGCTACTTCAGCAAGAACAACCGGAGACTCTGGGCGTTCCGCAACTCCGGAGTGAGATTCGCCCCGGTGCGCATCATCGCGAAGCCTTCGGATCTCGACAACTTCACCCAGCGGAAAGAGATCTACATTCGCTACAAATGAATCGGTCAAAAGAAGGAAAAGCATCTAACAAGTAAATCCCGTATCAAGAGTTTAATATATGGGCCTGAACAATTAGAATAGAGTTTGGGGGTATATTATACCATAACCACAATAAGGAACCCGCAAAACCTTATTCTAATTAATATAGGGTTTAGGCGAACTACTGAGCCGATCCCACCATCCGCCCGTGCAGGTCGTCCACGTGCGAGACCTCCTCGTCGAGGATGGGTGTTTTCTCCTCTTGTGTTTGGTCTCCTTAGAAGGGTCCGCTTGAAACGCCCGGATAGTATATTATATCCTGTGGCCTAAACGTAGACCCTATTTAGGTACGTTGTATTTAGGTACATGGACCCCTTTGGACTCTTAGGGCCCCGCCGTGATAGAAAATGGAACCTTTGCGAGTGCTCAGGGTGGAACCCTGGGGCTCCAAATTGCCCAGAGTAGGCCCTATTTATAGACTTTAGGACTTTAGGCCCCAAAGTAGGTACCATTTGCATACTTGGAGCCCTTGGGGAACAGCAACTAGGCTGTTTTGGTACGTCCTGCATTTGAATGCTCGTCCTCTTGCATTCAATCATCAGTAACATGCTTCTCGTGGTCCTGGAGGTTGGCCGCCATGTGAGCCACTTGCAACACGGCCAGTAGCGCAATCCTAAACCCTAAACCCTAAATCCTATTCCTTAAACCCTAAATCCTAAACCCTAAACCCTAAAGCGGCTCGCTCCAAAGCTTCATGCGCCTTCACAGCTTCAGATGTGCGCACTTACAGCTCGGCATGTCGTGGTGTGAACCTGCTACACTTAAACGTGCGATCGAAGCTTAAACGCTCCCAAAAGGTTGGGGGATGGATACTTATTCCCTATAAATCAGAGTAGTTAGTAAGTTCCTAATACAGAAACCCTACATGCTAGCTTATAGGTATAGGTACACAGGACCCTTTGGGGCCACTGGTCTTCGCAGGTCAGCCATCAGGGCGAAGAAGTCCGGCGCAGCCTGACACGACATGTTGCCGGAAAGTTGGCGTTCGGGTGTGGTATTTTATAGTGGTCTACTGTCTAGACTCTAGACAGTTAGTTGGTTCTTCACAACAACATAACGCCCTCTTATAAAGTCCATACATGATTCAAGCAACATATATACCCCAAACCCAATGGTGTTGTTTCAGGCCCCTATGTTAAAGACTTATAAAGCCTCGTGAACCCTTGCTTACACTCCAGCAGAAGGGTATTCAGGCCCCTACGGTTGATGATATACATCCTGCCATTACCCATAAGGAGGATATCTACCATAATTCCCATAGTCTAGGGTCCTTACGGCAATGCAGGATTTATATCATCAACCGTATGTCACAGGCTTCTTCAGGTCATTAGGACTGGAGTGCCTGGACGGCAATCTAAGATTTCTTTGTGGAGTCCTGAGGTGGTCGAGTCTCGTCACGATCTCCACACTTTGGCATAGAGGTTTGAACGACTACTTAGTATAGGATTAGGGCCATTTCGGGTTTAGTGTCTCTGATTCTTTGAGATTATTGCTAGTTATGTATGACACTCCCCAAGACCCGATCCGAGTCATTTTGGCCCGAATCCTCGTCTTCCATGGCCAGAGTGGTGGTCATGATCATTGGTATGGGGTGCAAAATTGAAACGATTCCTTGTGTGGATATATATATATAGAGAGAGAGAGAGAGAGTGTGTGAAGTTCTTAGCATGCAGGTGCAACAAAACGCAGCCAGCAGCAGAACCATCATCATGACTTTGCACTGGTGGCTACACTGGCTTTCACGAAAGTCCAAACTCAATATGGCACCAGTGTCAATGAGAACTGTGGCCACAAAAGCTGTCGGAGAAGCAACATAGCTAAACCCTATGTAGGGTATGATGTTGGCCCTGACGTTTTTTGGGGGGTTTAGCTTGTGAAGTTCAGGAACCCAATCCAGAAGAAAGCACAGACTCACAAACCATTGGAGGGACATTACCCTACACAGCCTAGACCCCTAAACCCTAAATCTCATGTTTCAAGACTTTCCAAGAAGCCCCGAGCTTCGCAAGCCACAGCTCAGGGGATCTGTTTGAGTCCGTCTGGGGCAAGGCACGCCACGGGATGTTGCGACAGTGTGGGATTTGTTTTGCTGTTGAGGGGGGGCTTCAGGATGGGGAGTGTTGTGGAGTAGGTTTCAGAATCAGGGAGTAGGGGGTAGAATATTCCGTAATTAATGCTGGGACGTACCGCCTAGCACAGGGATCGGGGGTGGCATCTTGACAATTCGGATTTGGCTTAGTGAAGCCGTCCCAAGCAAGGTAGCGAGTGGTTCGCAATGAAGGAGCTGACAGAAATCGACAAAGGTTAATTTCGGACGCATGTAAACGGGGTCCACGAAACAAGGCGCTTGAGCTGAACAGCGAACCGTGCAAACGAAACTCCACACGACGAGGCTAAACTGTGATGTAGAGAGTTTGCTTGCCTAAGCCCTGCAGGTAGTCAACCCTAAGAACGCCCCAGAGTGTCTGTGTTTCGGGACACCCCAAACCTCCCCTTCTTCCAAAGTCACAGACCTTTCTGTAAGGGTCCAACTATTTAATAATCTCATACTCTCCGGAATACAAACTTAGATAATTACTATCCGCAACCAAAGTACCTGATCATTGGGTCCTTTGGGACCCTTAGGGTTTACAATTGGACTCGAATGCCGACTGCGCCTTCCTACAATCCCCCCAGCCCGGGAGCTGCAAGTCTTAAGCCGTTTACCATTTAGCGTCACCACCTTCCGTCAAGTTAAGGGCCTCTTGAAAAGGAACCACAAGAAAGAACACGTTTCGAGGACCACTATGTGATTTCTGCACATTCCATATCGTTAGCACCCAGGGAAAAAACCTTCTGGAGCTCCATAACATAAAAGAGCCGCTGATGTACCGGAGGATTTCGTTTCCCAGCACAACCTGGCGAACCTGCAAATCGACCAGCTCATCACCGGCCTCTCCCGGGCCCGTTGGGAGTTTGAGAGAATTATTTTTCCCAGGGTCTGAAGTAGCCAGCTATGACGGTTTAGGGTTACTTTAAGGGTTTTGCGTTGATCATGCAAGGGTCTTAAGCACTAAACACTAGAATGGGGTTTTGGGTTAGTTTATCATAATATGAAGGAGCCCTAACAAATAGTATTGCTTTATATCCAGGCTTCTCTACTACCTATGACGGTTAAGAGTTCATGCGACAGCAAGGTCCCCAGAAGAATTCTGCACGGGTTTTGTAGGGTTTGGCAGAGGACGTCGAGAGTCCGCAGTTGGACTTGGGTACTTGGGCTTAGGGCACTAGAGCAGTATCATGTGGAGTATATGAGCATCCGCCGCATGGACCCTTACGGTAAGGGACCCCCGAACAACGGCCCTCAAGCGCCCACCCCCTCAAAGAATCCCAAGATGATGCAAAACTTGCCCCTTGTAGTGATCGTGTGCCTTTTCATAAAGACTGTCTCTTGGACCCTAGAAGTGGGATGCACCATGGAACCGTATCTGGCAGGATCTTTTTTGAATACATTCCCAAGCTTCCGAGCCGCCCCTGTCCTTTGTGCTCTGCTTCTCTAGGTTCACAAGTAAGGATGGAGTCCTTTATACAGAATTATAGGGTTTAGGATTCAGGGTTCAGGGTAGTCTCGACTGGAAAGCCGGACCGACACATGGCCCGCATAAGTGAATTGATCTCATATCGCTCTAGAAAGTCTCAATACAACCCAGAACAGCACAGAGCCCCTATACCTCAAAGCATCCTTATGCCCTAACCTCTTCCCAGGACTCGCTCCAGTTTGAGCAGCCGCCGCTAATGAGCTTCGGAAGATAAGCAACGTGTTGCCATCTTTGTGTTTACCCTATAAGCCTCTTATCCCCTGAAGCCATGAACCGTACCAACCCACAAACGCACCAGCCAGTGAATCCTAAAGGCACAAACCCTAAGCACTCACGTATTGAAAGTGTAGGGTAGGATTGTTGGAAGCATTCAGGCGTGGCTGTGGGATTTTGGCAGTGTAGCTGTGATTGTAGAGTTTAGGGTTCAGGGGCTATCGATGAAGCTGCATTGCTTTGCTCCTCCATTCGCATGGAGACCGTACTTGAATGGACCTTGTCTCTCCCCTTTTTATAACCCTTGAACCCCAAAGTGCCCAACATACCCTAAACCCTAAACTCCTAACCGCTAAACCCTAAACCATAGCATCAGGAATCTCTTCTTCATGCGCGATCCGATCTTTTGCGTGCCAGGAGGCAGCTCGACCAGGAAATGTGTTGTGTCAGACTTGGGACTTTCCGAAAATTAGGGTACCTCATTTTGAGGTCCTTATATTAAGGTTCCTACTATTTGGGGTGCTATGTGTTGTGTCAAACTTCAAAGTTCGCCTGGCTCGACTAAGGACATGACGGAAGTTTATGTAACATAGTAACTATCCCCAGAGGCCCAGAGCATGTGGCATCTTCGGATACAAGGTCGGCGTGCACTTCAGCAACATTGGAGCTTCAGGAAGTGTCCACAGCCACGAGTAGAGAATTCTAAAGATGGAGATCCCTAAATATCATGTACGTGACGACTCCGAAGAAAAGGGCCAGACACCCCTAACTGTTGTGCCCCAGGCCCTAACCTCACAATGAGCAGAACATCCAACCCATTGAGGTTGGGGAGCCCGAAAGACTACCCTAAACTCTAAACCCTAAAACCCTAAACCCTAAACCCGAAAGCCTAAACAGTAAACCCGTAAAGAACCCACTCTGAGGCTGGGCGGTGATAGCTAGACCCTTCTACGCCATCCGCCAGCGGGAGGCTCTCTGTGCCTACTTGCCGTAAGTGTCCATGGACTCATACTGTACAGGATATGTACACATCAATATATATGTATGTGTAATTATATATATGTAAATATACACATACATATACATATACATATACATATACATATACATATACATATACATATACATATACATATACATATACATATACATATATATATATATGTGACA